CACTAAATATTACCCTGCTCACACTCCAACAGATCGTCAGGTCCCAAGTACCATTCGACTCCATTCACTCCTATCTAACACGCTCACGCACGCTTGCGGGGAAGTCCAAGCCCTTCCCCAACAAACCCCCTTACCCCCTCTCTCCAACCCTTTTCGAGGACAAACCCCTACCCCGCCTTCCTTCCCCTATAGATTTATATGCTTTCCATGTCATTCTACTTTGATCCATTCTCTCTAAATGACCAAACCACCTCAACAACCCCTTTTTCTGCCCTCTGACTAATACTTTTTTAACTCCACACCTTCTCCTAATTTCACACACTCCGAATTTTCTGCATAAAAATTTACACCACAAAATTGCCCTTAAACAGGACATCTCCACTGCCCCCAAACCCGTCTCCTCGCTGCTGCATTTACCACCCAAGCTTCACACCCCATATAAGAGTGTTGGTACTACTATACTTTCATACATTCCCTTTTTTGCCTCCATAGTAACTTTTTTTTGACTCCACATATACCTCAATGCACCACTCACCTTTTTCCCTCATCAATTCTATGATTAACCTCATCCTTCATAAATCCATCCGCCGACACGTCAACTCCCAAGTATCTGAAAACATTCACTTCTTCCATACTCCTCCTCCCAATTTGATATCCAATTTTTCTTTATCTAAATCTTTTGACACCCTCATCACCTTACTCTTTTCTAGGGTTCACTTTCAATTTTCTACCTTTACACACATTCCCAAAACTCATCCACTAACCTTTGCAATTTTTCTTTAGAATCTCCCATAAGCACAGTATCATCAGCAAAAAGTAACTGTGTCAATTCCCATTTGAATTTGATTCCCCAAAATTTAATCCCCCCCCTCTCCCGAACCCCCTAGCATTTACTTCCTTTACAACCCCATCTATAAATATATTAAACAACCATGGTGACATTACACATCCCTGTCTAAGACCTATTTTTACCGGGAAGTAGTTCCCTCTCTTCTACACACCCTAACCTGAGCCTCACTATCCCCCTAAAAACTCTTTACAGCATTTAGTAATTTACACCTATTCCATATACTTGCAACATCGCCACATTGCTCCTCTATCCACTCTATCATATGCCTTTTCTAAATCCATAAATGCAATTAAAAACTTCCCTATCTTAATCTAAATACTGTTCACATATATGCTTCAATGTAAACACCTGATCTACACATCCCCTACCCACTCTGAAACCTCCTTGCTCATCCGCAATCCTACATTCTGTCCCTTACCTCTAATTCTTTCAATTATAACCCTACCGTACACTTTTCCTGGTATACTCGTAAAACTTATTCCTCTATAATTTTTACAGTCTCTTTTGTCCCCTTTCCCTTTATATAAAGGGACCATACTGCTCTGCGCCAATCCCTAGGTACCCTTTCCCCCCTTTTTATACATTTATTAAACAAAAGTACCAACCACTCCAACACTATATCCCCCCTGCTTTTTTAACATTTCTTCATGTCCCATCAGTTCCAGCTGCTTTTTCCCCCTTTCATTTTACGTAATGCCTCACGTACCTCCCCACACTTACATTCTGCTCTTCTTCACTCCTAAAAGATGGTATTACCTCCCTAACCATGCATGAAATTACTGCCTCTGTTTCTTCCTTAACATTTAAAAGTTCCTCAAAATATTCTCGCCATCTACCCAATACCTCCATCTCCCCATCTACAACTCCCCTACTCTGTTTTTAACTGACAAATCCATATTTTCCCTAGGCTTTCTTAACTTTTTTTAACTCATCCAAATTTTTCTTATTTTTATTAAAATTTCTTGACAGTGCCTCTCCCACTCTATCATCTGCTCTCCTTTTGCACTCTCTCAAACCCCTCTCTTTTTCTTTCTTTTACTTCCATATACTCTGCTCTTTTTATAACACTTCTGCTTTTTAAAAACCTCTCATAAGTACCTTTTTCTCTTTTATCACACCCTTTACTTCATCATTCACCAATCACTCCTCTTTCCTCCTGCCCCCACCCTCCTATAACCACAAACTTCTGCCCCACATTCTAATACTGCATTTTTAAAACTATTCAACCCCCTTCAACCCCCCCACTACTCATCTTTGCACTAGCCCACCTTTCTGCCAATAGTCGCTTATATCTCACCCGAATTCCTCCTCCCTTAGTTTTACACTTTCACCTCCCTCTTACTTGTTGTTGCCACCTTCCTCCTTTTCCCATCTACCTCTTACTCTAACTGTAGCTACAACTAAATAATGATCCGATATATCATTGCCCCTCTATAAACATGTACATCCTGGAGCTACCCATCAACCTTTTATCCACCAAACATAATCTAATAAACTACTTTCATTACGTGCTACATCATACCTTGTATATTTATTATCCTCTTTTTCATAAAATATGTATTACTTATTACCAAATTTCTTTCTACACATAGCTCAATTAAAGGCTCCCTATTTACATTTACCCCTGGCACCCCAAATTTACCTACTACTCCCTCCATAACATTTTTACCCACTTTAGCATTGAAATCCCAAACCACCATTACTCTCACACTTGATTCAAAACTCCCCACGCATTCACTCAAAAATTTCCAAAAACTCTCTCTCTCCTCTACACTTCTCTCTTCTCCAGGTGCATACACGCTTTTTATAACCCACTTTTCACATCCAATCTTTATTTTACTCCACATAATCCTTGAATTAATACATTTATAGTCCCTCTTTTCCTGCCATAGCTTATCCTTCAACATTATTGCTACTCCTTCTTTAGCTCTAACTCTATTTGAAACCCCTGACCTAATCCCATTTATTCCTCTCCACTGAAACTCTCCACCCCTTCACCTTTGTTTCACTTAAAGCCAGGACATCCAGCTTCTCATTCATAACATCCACAATCATCTCTTTCTTATCATCTGCACAACATCCACGCACATTCAGACTTCCCACTTTGACAATTTTCTTCTTCTTATTCTTTTTAGTAATCTTTACAGGAAAAGGGGTTACTAGCCCATTGTTCCGGCATTTTAGTTGACTTTTACAACACGCATGGCTTACGGAGGAAAGATTCTTATTCCACTTCCCCATGGATATAAAAGGAAAATTAAGACCAAGAACTATTAAGATAAAATCAAAGAAAACTCAGATGAGTGTGTATAAATAAATGTGTACATGTATGTGTAGTGTGACCTAAGTGTAAGTAGAAGTAGCAAGACATGCCTGTAATCTTGCATATTTATGAGACAGACAAAAGACATCAGCAATCCTACCATCATGTAAAACAATCACAGGCTTTCGTTTTACACTCACTTGGCAGGACGGTAGTACCTCCCTGGGTGGTTGCTGTCTACCAACCTACTACTAATATATAAATAAATATATATATATATATATATATATATATATATTAATATATATATATATATATATATATATATATATATATATATATTATAAGGTGAGTGGTGCGTTGAGGTATATGTGGAGTCAAAAAACGTTATCTATGGAGGCAAAGAAGGGAATGTATGAAAGTATAGTAGTACCAACACTCTTATATGGGTGTGAAGCTTGGGTGGTAAATGCAGCAGCGAGGAGACGGTTGGAGGCAGTGGAGATGTCCTGTTTAAGGGCAATGTGTGGTGTAAATATTATGCAGAAAATTCGGAGTGTGGAAATTAGGAGAAGGTGTGGAGTTAATAAAAGCATTAGTCAGAGGGCAGAAGAGGGGTTGTTGAGGTGGTTTGGTCATTTAGAGAGAATGGATCAAAGTAGAATGACATGGAAAGCATATAAATCTATAGGGGAAGGAAAGAGGGGTAGGGGTCGTCCTCGAAAGGGTTGGAAAGAGGGGGTAAAGGAGGTTTTGTGGGCGAGGGGCTTGGACTTCCAGCAAGCGTGCATGAGCGTGTTAGATAGGAGTGAATGGAGACGAATGATACTTGGGACCTGACGATCTGTTGGAGTGTGAGCAGGGTAATATTTAGTGAAGGGATTCAGGGAAACCGGTTATTTTCATATAGTCGGACTTGAGTCCTGGAAATGGGAAGTACAATGCCTGCACTTTAAAGGAGGGGTTTGGGATATTGGCAGTTTGGAGGGATATGTTGTGTATCTTTATACGTATATGCTTCTAAACTGTTATATTCTGAGCACCTCTGCAAAAGCAGTGATAATGTGTGAGTGTGGTGAAAGTGTTGAATGATGATGAAAGTATTTTCTTTTTGGGGATTTTCTTTCTTTTTTGGGTCACCCTGCCTCGGTGGGAGACGACCGACTTGTTGAAAATATATATATATATATATATATATATATATATATTATATATATATATATATATATATATATATATATATATATATTATATATATATATATATATATATATATATATAGCATTATATTTATTACTTATCTTCAAACTTATTGGATCTAGAAGTTGAATATAAATGACACAAAAATTGAATTTTAAAAAGAAAAATCACAATATATTAAAATATTCATAAACGTTGGGTCTTTAAAAATAAGAGAGAGAGAGAGAGAGAGAGAGAGAGAGAGAGAGAGGAGAGAGAGAGAGAGAGAGAGAGAGAGAGAGAGAGAGAGAGAGAGAGCACGCCAAGGAGAGTAAAGTCAGAGTGGACAATTCTGAAAATTTAAGACCAAAAAAAATTTGAGCAGATAAGTGAGATGGATATTTGATTGATGCTCGCAGCCTCACCGGGCGAAACAGATCCTTGACACCTGTATTCAACTGGGCGAAACGTTATGACGTTAAATACACCTGTTGATAAATTAGACACTTATACAACACTTGTGTATCTGTATTGTGGAAACTTATGGCACACAGCTGTACACGTTATAACGACCACCTTCAAGGCTGGCCACACCTGTTTACCTGGAGTTTACCTGGAGACAGTTCCGGGGGTCAACGCCCCCGCGGCCCGGTCTGTGACCAGGCCTCCTGGTGGATCAGAGCCTGATCAACCAGGCTGTTGCTGCTGGCTGCACGCAAACCAACGTACGAGCCACAGCCCGGCTGGTCAGGAACCGACTTTAGGTGCTTGTCCAGTGCCAGCTTGAAGACCTTGAGGTGCCTTATCCCACTTATGTGCGATAAGGCACCTAAACTACTGGGAACGGTTGAAGGTCCTTGATCTGTATTCCCTGGAACGTAGGCGAGAGAGATACATGATAATATACACTTGGAAGGTCCTGGAGGGATTGGTACCAAACTTGCACACGAAAATCACTCCATATGAAAGCAAAAGACTCGGCAGGAGATGCAACATTTCCCCGATGAAAAGCAGCGGCGCCACGAGTACACTGAGAGACAACACAATAAGTGTCAGGGGCCCAAGACTGTTCAATTGCCTCCCAGCATACATAAGGGGGATTACCAATAGAATCCTGGGTGTCTTCAAGAAGGCACTGGACAGGCACCTAAAGTCAGTACCTGACCAACCTGGCTGTGGTTCGTACGTCAGCTTGCGTGCGGCCAGCAGTAACAGCCTGGCTGATCAGACCCTGATCCACCATGAGGCCTGGTCTCAGGCCGGGCCGCGGGGGCTTTGACCCCCGAAACCCTCTCCAGGTAAACACAGTGACTTCATCAGTCCAGTACAAAGAAGAATGGTGAAGATCAGAAGGAGTTTGAGGTAATCAGTCCCCCATGATGGACTGATCACCTCAAACTCCTAATCTTCTTTATTAAGATACCCAAGTATTGCACATATGTCTAACTTATCAACTTGTCGGTTCTCTGAACCTTGTATCTACACACCTAATTGCTGTACCTGTATCTTGGTCATCCAGCAGCCAGGCCGCCCCATCACACCCAGTATCTACCTGGAGTTCATTACCTCTATAACTTGCTCAGCTATCATAACTTTGGAGTCCAGTCCCTGGACCCATTATGTGCCTTTGTAATCTTTTGACTACCACCCACAGGATGGGTATGGAGGTCATAATACTGATATTAAACGAACACTAACTAGAGCCTGGGGCAGATAAGTCACTCGCTCTCATCATGTGGTCATAAGCTGGGTTGTGGTCGCTAACTGCTGAAAATGGTGGTTTTGATAGCGAGCGACCCGTTCTCAGCTCTTAGAGACCACAGGTAAACCGTGATGACAGTGATTTGTATCTGGCGGTGAAGATATTACGATGGTGGTAGTGAGGATCTGCACACCAGCACTTGTTCTTAAACTAGCCATTACGATGTTATTAAATTATGTGATAAATGATTTAAAACAGACAAGTAGAAGATTGAGACACTTATGCAACATATAGGAATCATTACTGAAGAAACGTTTAGCCACACAGTGGCTTCATCAGTCCAATGCAAAGCAGAAAGGTGTAAGGAGAGGAGGAGTTTGAGATAATCAGTCCCTCAGCGTGGAGTTGATGTGTTCACTGAACACATCAATTTCCGCGTGATAATGGTTCCTTCCCAGTTGATGTTATGGCTTGAAGTTTTCCTATGTTGAAAGATGGCAGCGTTCTCCTGTCCATATATCATGAATCCTTTATCATCTTTTGCACACACACTTCCAAACAATGGTCTCTCTTCCTTATGGTCTGTCTGCCCTACGACCTGTCTTCCCTACGACCTGTCTGCCGTGCGACCTGTCTGCCTTACTGTCTGTCTGCCCTACTGTGTCTACCCTACTGCCTGTCCTAACTGGCTGCTTGAGGGGGGTCTTAGGGAAACAGTTCTCGAGTTGGTTCACATTAAAACGTGAACTAGAACAGGCAGCTCGCATCAGGTTTGGCTAAGACAATGAGTCAGGATGGGACTCACAGGACCCAGGATTAACTCATAATTGTATTCTTGGGTCTCAGGATGGAGGATTAATTTTGGGCTATTTAGGAATGTTTCCTCTGAACGAGAACTGGGTCGAGAGGAATTCGAAATTCTCCAGGACTGACTCAAGTGTAGCAGAGGAATCCCCAGAGAGAGAGAGAGGTGGGGGAGAGAGAGAAAGAGAGGTGGGAGAGAGAGGGAGAGAGAGAGAAAACTCACCTGAGAGAGAGAACTCGTTCCTCCTGGACTCAGAGTTACGGATAAGGAAGGCTCCGTGGTCGTTAAGGTTGGAGAGTAGTCGTCTCTCACAGTCCCCTCGCTTGATGTCTCCGAAGTACCACCTATAACACCATGCAACACTTTTACCACCCGTAACACTGATACCATCCATAACAATGGCACCACAAGCAACATCACAATACCAGGAAACACAGCCAATACCACTCGCTAAATTACATGTATGAATAGTATAGTAAAATGTGTGTGGATAATGGCACAGTGTGGACAGTATAACACAGTACTAACATCACAGCCTGATAGTACTAACATCACAGCTTGACAGTACTAACATCACAGCTTGACAGTACTAACATCACAGCTTGACAGTACTAACATCACAGCTTGACAGTACTAACATCACAGCTTGACAGTACTAACATCACAGCTTGACAGTACTAACATCACAGCCTGATAGTACTAACATCACAGCCTGACAGTACTAACATCACAGCCTGATAGTACTAACATCACAGCCTGATAGTACTAACATCACAGCTTGACAGTACTAACATCACAGCCTGACAGTACTAACATCACAGCTTGACAGTACTAACATCACAGCTTGACAGTACTAACATCACAGCTTGACAGTACTAACATCACAGCTTGACAGTACTAACATCACAGCTTGACAGTACTAACACCACAGCTTGACAGTACTAACATCACAGCCTGACAGTACTAACATCACAGCTTGACAGTACTAACATCACAGCCTGACAGTACTAACATCACAGCTTGACAGTACTAACATCACAGCCTGACAGTACTAACATCAGCCTGACAGTACTAACATCACAGCCTGACAGTACTAACATCACAGCTTGACAGTACTAACATCACAGCTTGACAGTACTAACATCACAGCCTGACAGTACTAACATCAGCCTGACAGTACTAACATCACAGCTTGACAGTACTAACATCACAGCCTGACAGTACTAACATCACAGCTTGACAGTACTAACATCACACCTGACAGTACTAACATCACAGCTTGACAGTACTAACATCACAGCCTGACAGTACTAACATCACAGCTTGACAGTACTAACATCACAGCTTGACAGTACTAACATCACACCCTGACAGTACTAACATCACACCTGACAGTACTAACATCACAGCTTGACAGTACTAACATCACAGCCTGACAGTACTAACATCACAGCTTGACAGTACTAACATCACAGCTTGACAGTACTAACATCACAGCCTGACAGTACTAACATCACGCTTGACAGTACTAACATCACAGCCTGACAGTACTAACATCAGCCTGACAGTACTAACATCACAGCCTGACAGTACTAACATCACAGCTTGACAGTACTAACATCACAGCTTGACAGTACTAACATCACGCCTGACAGTACTAACATCAGCTGACAGTACTAACATCACACCCTGACAGTACTAACATCACAGCTTGACAGTACTAACTCACAGCCTGACAGTACTAACATCACAGCTTGACAGTACTAACATCACAGCTTGACAGTACTAACATCACACCCTGACAGTACTAACATCACACCCTGACAGTACTAACATCACAGCTTGACAGTACTAACATCACAGCCTGACAGTACTAACATCACAGCTTGACAGTACTAACATCACAGCTTGACAGTACTAACATCACAGCCTGACAGTACTAACATCACAGCTTGACAGTACTAACATCACAGCCTGACAGTACTAACATCAGCCTGACAGTACTAACATCACAGCCTGACAGTACTAACATCACAGCTTGACAGTACTAACATCACAGCTTGACAGTACTAACATCACAGCCTGACAGTACTAACATCAGCCTGACAGTACTAACATCACAGCTTGACAGTACTAACATCACAGCCTGACAGTACTAACATCACAGCTTGACAGTACTAACATCACACCCTGACAGTACTAACATCACAGCTTGACAGTACTAACATCACAGCCTGACAGTACTAACATCACAGCTTGACAGTACTAACATCACAGCTTGACAGTACTAACATCACACCCTGACAGTACTAACATCACACCCTGACAGTACTAACATCACAGCTTGACAGTACTAACATCACAGCCTGACAGTACTAACATCACAGCTTGACAGTACTAACATCACAGCTGACAGTACTAACATCACAGCTTGACAGTACTAACATCACAGCTTGACAGTACTAACATCACAGCCTGGCAGTACTAACATCACAGCTTGACAGTACTAACATCACAGCTTGACAGTACTAACATCACAGCTTGACAGTACTAACATCACAGCCTGACAGTACTAACATCACAGCTTGACAGTACTAACATCACAGCCTGACAGTACTAACATCACAGCTTGACAGTACTAACATCACAGCCTGACAGTACTAACATCAGCCTGACAGTACTAACATCACAGCCTGACAGTACTAACATCACAGCTTGACAGTACTAACATCACAGCTTGACAATACTAACATCACAGCCTGACAGTACTAATATCACAGCTTGACAGTACTAACATCACAGCTTGACAGTACTAACATCACAGCCTGACAGTACTAACATCACAGCCTGACAGTACTAACATCACAGCCTGGCAGTACTAACATCACAGCTTGACAGTACTAACATCACAGCCTGACAGTACTAACATCACAGCTTGACAGTACTAACATCACAGCCTGACAGTACTAACATCACAGCTTGACAGTACTAACATCACAGCCTGACAGTACTAACATCAGCCTGACAGTACTAACATCACAGCTTGACAGTACTAACATCAGAGCTTGACAGTACTAACATCACAGCCTGACAGTACTAACATCACAGCCTGACAGTACTAACATCACAGCCTGACAGTACTAACATCACAGCCTGACAGTACTAACATCACAGCCTGACAGTACTAACATCACAGCCTGACAGTACTAACATCAGCCTGACAGTACTAACATCACAGCTTGACATTACTAACATCACAGCCTGACAGTACTAACATCACAGCTTGACAGTACTAACATCACACCCTGACAGTACTAACATCACCGCTTGACAGTACTAACATCACAGCCTGACAGTACTAACATCACAGCTTGACAGTACTAACATCACAGCTTGACAGTACTAACATCACACCCTGACAGTACTAACATCACACCCTGACAGTACTAACATCACAGCTTGACAGTACTAACATCAGAGCTTGACAGTACTAACATCACAGCCTGACAGTACTAACATCACAGCCTGACAGTACTAACATCACAGCTTGACAGTACTAACATCAGAGCTTGACAGTACTAACATCACAGCCTGACAGTACTAACATCAGAGCTTGACAGTACTAACATCACAGCCTGACAGTACTAACATCACAGCCTGACAGTACTAACATCACAGCCTGACAGTACTATCACAGCCTGACAGTACTAACATCACAGCCTGACAGTACTAACATCAGAGCTTGACAGTACTAACATCACAGCCTGACAGTACTAACATCACAGCCTGACAGTACTAACATCAGAGCTTGACAGTACTAACATCAGAGCTTGACAGTACTAACATCACAGCCTGACAGTACTAACATCACAGCCTGACAGTACTAACATCACAGCTTGACAGTACTAACATCAGAGCTTGACAGTACTAACATCACAGCCTGACAGTACTAACATCAGAGCTTGACAGTACTAACATCACAGCCTGACAGTACTAACATCACAGCCTGACAGTACTAACATCACAGCCTGACAGTACTAACATCACAGCCTGACAGTACTAACATCACAGCCTGACAATACTAACATCAGAGCTTGACAGTACTAACATCACAGCCTGACAGTACTAACATCACAGCCTGACAGTACTAACATCAGAGCTTGACAGTACTAACATCAGAGCTTGACAGTACTAACATCACAGCCTGACAGTACTAACGTCACAGCCTGACAGTACTAACATCACAGCTTGACAGTACTAACATCACAGCTTGACAGTACTAACATTACAGCCTGACAGTACTAACATCACAGCTTGACAGTACTAACATCACAGCTTGACAGTACTAACATCACAGCTTGACAGTACTAACATCACAGCTTGACAGTACTAACATCACAGCCTGACAGTACTAACATCACAGCCTGGCAGTACTAACATCACAGCCTGACAGTACTAACATCACAGCCTGACAGTACTAACATCACAGCTTGACAGTACTAACATCACAGCTTGACAGTACTAACATTACAGCCTGACAGTACTAACATCACAGCTTGACAGTACTAACATCACAGCTTGACAGTACTAACATCACAGCTTGACAGTACTAACATCACAGCCTGACAGTACTAACATCACAGCCTGGCAGTACTAACATCACAGCCTGACAGTACTAACATCACAGCCTGACAGTACTAACATCACAGCTTGACAGTACTAACATCACAGCTTGACAGTACTAACATTACAGCCTGACAGTACTAACATCACAGCTTGACAGTACTAACATTACAGCCTGACAGTACTAACATCACAGCTTGACAGTACTAACATCACAGCTTGACAGTACTAACATCACAGCTTGACAGTACTAACATCACAGCCTGACAGTACTAACATTACAGCCTGACAGTACTAACATCACAGCTTGACAGTACTAACATCACAGCTTGACAGTACTAACATCACAGCTTGACAGTACTAACATCACAGCCTGACAGTACTAACATCACAGCCTGGCAGTACTAACATCACAGCCTGACAGTACTAACATCACAGCCTGACAGTACTAACATCACAGCTTGACAGTACTAACATCACAGCTTGACAGTACTAACATTACAGCCTGACAGTACTAACATCACAGCTTGACAGTACTAACATTACAGCTGACAGTACTAACATCACAGCTTGACAGTACTAACATCACAGCTTGACAGTACTAACATCACAGCTTGACAGTACTAACATCACAGCCTGACAGTACTAACATTACAGCCTGACAGTACTAACATCACAGCTTGACAGTACTAACATCACAGCTTGACAGTACTAACATCACAGCTTGACAGTACTAACATCACAGCCTGACAGTACTAACATCACAGCCTGACAGAACTGTCAACTCACGGTTCAGCATCGATGCTCTGGAGTCTGGCGACGTAGTTAGATGGGATGTATCCCTCTAGTCCTGTGAGATGACTCCTGGCCAGCCACCAGTCTTCTGACGTCTCATCCAACACCTGTCACAGTAACACATGTCAACACCTGTCACAGTAACACGTCAACACCTGTCACAGTGACACATGTCAACACCTGTCACAGTAACACATGTCACAATAACACTTGTCAACACCTGTTACAGTAACACGTCAACACCTGTTACAGTAACACGTCAACACCTGTCACAGTAACACGTCAATACCTGTCACAGTAACACATGTCAACACCTGTCACAGTAACACGTCAACACCTGTCACAGTGACACATGTCAACACCTGTCACAGTAACACGTCACAATAACACTTGTCAACACCTGTTACAGTAACACGTCAATACCTGTCACAGTAACACATGTCAATACCTGTGAGAACAGCACATGTAAACACCTGTGACAAGACATGATAAACTATGTACGATTGCGGTAACTAGTGACATGGTCCTCAGACAAATAGAGAAACTAAAACCTAACAAATCCCCAGGTCCTGATGAACTGTTTGCAAGGGTGTTAAAGGAATGTAAAGAGGAACTTAGCATACCTTTGGCTAATCTTTTTAACATATCACTACGAACTGGCATAGTGCCTGATAAATGGAAAATGGCAAATGTAATACCTATTTACAAGGCAGGTGACAGGTCCTTGGCTTCGAACTATAGACCAATAAGCCTTACCTCCATAGTGGGGAAAATTTATGGAATCAATAATTGCCGAAGCAATTCGTAGCCATCTTGATAGGCACAGATTGACTAATGAATCTCAACACGGATTTACAAAGGGGCGTTCCTGTCTTTCGAATTTACTAACTTTTTTTCACTAAGGTGTTTGAGGAGGTAGACCATGATAATGAATATGATATTGTGTATATGGGCTTCAGTAAGGCTTTTGATAGAGTTCCACACCAGAGGCTATTGAGGAAACTTAAGGCACAAGGAATAGGAGAAATTTTTTCCTGGGTAGAGGCATGGCTGACAAATAGGCAGCAGAGAGTTTGCATAAATGAGGAGAAATCAGAATGGGGGCACGTCACAAGCGGTGTTCCACAGGGGTCAGTGTTGGACCCGTTGTTGTTCACAATTTACATCAACGACATAGATGAGGGAATAAATAGCGACATAAGCAAATTTGCTGACGACACCAAAATAGGCCGTCCAATTCATTCTAATGAGGACACTAGAGCACTCCAGGATGATTTGAATAATTCAGACTGATGCAATTACCTGGAGTTTACCTGGAGAGAGTTCCGGGGGTCAACGCCCCCGCGGCCCGGTCTGTGACCAGGCCTCCTGGTGGATCAGAGCCTGATCAACCAGGCTGTTGCTGCTGGCTGCACACAAACCAACGTACGAGCCACAGCCCGGCTGATCAGGAACTGACTTTAGGTGCTTGTCCAGTGCCAGCTTGAAGACTGCCAGGGGTCTGTTGGTAATCCCCCTTATGTGTGCTGGGAGGCAGTTGAACAGTCTCGGGCCCCTGACATTTATTGTATGGTCTCTTAACGTGCTAGTGACACCCCCTGCTTTTCATTGGGGGGATGGTGCATCGTCTGCCAAGTCATTTGCTTTCGTAGTGAGTGATTTTCGTGTGCAAGTTCGGTACTAGTCCCTCTAGGATTTTCCAGGTGTATATAATCATGTATCTCTCCCTCCTACGTTCCAGGGAATACAGGTTTAGGAACCTCAAGCGCTCCCAGTAATTGAGGTGTTTTATCTCCGTTATGCGCGCCGTGAAAGTTCTCTGTACATTTTCTAGGTCGGCAATTTCACCTGCCTTGAAAGGTGCTGTTAGTGTGCAGCAACATTCCAGCCTAGATAGAACAAGTGACCTGAAGAGTGTCATCATGGGCTTGGCCTCCCTAGTTTTGAAGGTTCTCATTATCCATCCTGTCATTTTTCTAGCAGATGCGATTGATACAATGTTATGGTCCTTGAAGGTGAGATCCTCCGACATAAAACACTCCCAGGTCTTTGACGTTGGTGTTTCGCTCTATTTCGTGGCCAGAATTTGTTTTGTACTCTGATGAAGATTTAATTTCCTCATGTTTACCATATCTGAGTATTGAAATTTCTCATCGTTGAACTTCATATTGTTTTCTGCAGCCACTGAAAGATTTGGTTGATGTCCGCCTGGAGCCTTGCAGTGTCTGCAATGGAAGACACTTGTCATGCAGATTCGGGTGTCATCTGCAAAGGAAGACACGGTGCTGTGGCTGACATCCTTGTCTATGTCGGAATGAGGATGAGAAAAAAGATGGGAGCTAGTACTGTGCCTTGTGGAACAGGCTTTTCACCGTAGCTGCCTCGGACTTTACTCTGTTGACGACTACTCTCTGTGTTCTGTTAGTGAGGAAATTATAGATCCATCGACCGACTTTTCCTGTTATTCCTTTAGCGCGCATTTGTGCGCTATTACGCCATGGTCACACCCTTTTCGAAGGCTTTGCAAAGTCTGTATATATTACATCTGCATTCTTTTTGTCTTCTAGTGCATTTAGGACCTTGTCGTAGTGACCAGTAGCTGAGACAGACAGGAGCGACCTGTTCTAAACCCATGTTGCCCTGGGTTGTGTAACAAACTGTTGTGTTTCTCGATGGGTGGTGGAGCTTGCTTCTTAGGGGACCCTTTCATAGATTTTGAATGATATGTCTGTAGTTCTTTGCTGTTGCTTTACTGCCCCCTTTGGTGGAGTGGGGATATGTTGTTGTTTGTAGTAACTGTGGGACGACCACCGTGTCCATGCTCCCTCTCCATTGGATGGAAAAGGCTTAGTGATAGGGCTTCTTGCAGTTCTTGATGACACAGAGTTCCATGACGTCTGGCCCTGGGCAGAGTGCATGTGCTGTCATTTTTTCGCTGTTTTTCGAAGTCATTTGGCGTCGGAACACATCGGATAGGCTTGTGTTAATCTACTTTTGAGGCTCTCTCATAAAAAAATTAATTTTGTATCTTCGACTTCAGTCTGGTTAGCGGCTTGCTAAAACTGAGTCAAACTGGGACTTGAGTGCTCACTTCATTTCCTTGCTGTCATCTGTGTAGGACCCATCTTGTTTTATAAGTACGCGGCCAATACTGGGGACGTTGTTCTCGATTTTGATTTGGCATAGAAGAAATACTTTGGGTTTCTTTCGATTTCATTTTTGCTTTTAGTTCTTCCGCGTTTCCTGACTCCTATCAGGATTCTGTTTAGCTTAAGTTCGATGCTTGCTATTTATCTGACCAGTGTCTCCCTACGCATTACAGATTATATTGACCTCTTTTTGCCGCCTCTGTTATTCTTTTACGTTCGCCTGTAAGGGATGCGGCCTGTTCTTTCATTTTACATCTTACTCCTCCTTTTTCTTAGAGGAATATGCCTTGTGCATAATCGGTTGACACCGAGTTAATCTGTTTAGGCATAATTGGGGTCTGTGTTGCTTAGTTATATCTTCCAGCTTACCATCGGTTAATGAATTGGTTTACTTGGTCCCACTTTATGTTTTTGTTATTGAAGTTGAATTTGGTGAATGCTCCCTCGTGACTAGTCTCATTATGTCGGTCTGGGGCTCCACGCATACATGTCTGAACCTCAATTATGTTGTGATCTGAGTATATTGTTTTTGATATGGTGACATTTCTTATCAGATCATCATTGTTAGTGAAGATGAGGTCTAGTGTATTCTCCAGTCTAGTAGGCTCTATTATTTGCTGGTTTAAATTGAATTTTGTGCAGAGATTTAAAAGCTCGCTGGTCGGAGTAGTGGCAGATGCAGTTTAATATAGACAAATGCAAAGTTCTAAATGTTGTACAGGAAAATAACCATGCCAAATATAAACTAAATAATGTAGATCTTAATACTACTGATTGCGAAAAGGATTTAGGAGTTCTGGTTAACAGTAATCTAAAACCAAGACAACAGTGCATTAGTGTTCGCAATAAAGCTAACAGAATTCTTGGCTTCATATCTAGAAGTATAAATAATAGGAGTCCTCAGGTTGTTCTTCAACTCTATATATCCTTGGTTAGGCCTCATTTAGACTATGCTGCTCAGTTCTGGTCACTGGATTACAGAATGGATATAAATGCTCTGGAAAACGTACAGAGGAGGATGACAAAGATGATCCTATGTATCAGAAATCTTGGTTTAGAAAGACACGTAAGCAAACACTATAACATATTTATTAGAAAACGTTTCGGTCCTGGGACCTTGATCACTTCTAACATACAGAAGTAGAAAGACATTATATATATATAGGCGGAGAGTGAGATGTGACGCACGTGACCTGAGGAATGTCGTAAGAACATAAGAATGGAGGAACATTCTTATGTTCTTACGACATTCCTCAGTTCACGTGCGTCACATCTCACTCTCCGCCTATATATATATAATGTCTTTCTACCTCTGTATGTTAGAAGTGATCAAGGTCCCAGGACCGAAACGTTTTCTAATAAATATGTTATAGTGTTTGCTTACGTGTCTTTCTAAACCAACTTGTCGGTATTTATTACCAAGGTTTATACCATCAGAAATCTTCCCTAAGGGCCCTGAATCTGCACTCTCTCGAAAGGCGTAGAATTAGGGATGATATGATTGAGGTGTATAAATGGAAAACAGGAATAAATAAAGGGGATGTAAATAGCGTGCTGAAAATTTCTAGCCAAGACAGGACTCGCAGCGATGGTTTCAAGTTGGAAAAATTCAGATTCAGGAAGGATATAGGAAAGTACTGGTTTGGTAATAGAGTTGTGGATGAGTGGAACAAACTCCCGAGTACAGTTATTCAGGCTAAAACGTTGTGTAGTTTTAAAAATAGGTTAGATAAATACATGAGTGGGTGTGGGTGGGTGTGAGTTGGACCTGACTAGCTTGTGCTGCTGGGTCGGGTGGCGTGCTCCTTCCTTGAGTGGAGGTGACCAGACTGGGTGGGTCATTGGGCTAATCCGGGGGGGTCATTGGTCTAATCCGGGGGGGGGACATGGACCTGCTCCGCATGGGTCAGTAGGCCTGTTGCAGTGTTCTTTCTTTCTTATGTTCTTATGTTTTTATATGCCACGGTTAACATAAGAAGAACATTTCCCCGATGAAAAGCAGCGGCGCCACGAGTACACTGAGAGACAACACAATAAGTGTCAGGGGCCCAAGACTGTTCAATTGCCTCCCAGCATACATAAGGGGGATTACCAATAGAACCCTGACTGTCTTTAAGAAGGCACTGGACAGGCACCTAAAGTCAGTACCTGACCAACCTGGCTGTGGTTCGTACGTCAGCTTGCGTGCGACCAGTAGTAACAGCCTGGTTGATCAGACCCTGATCCACCATGAGGCCTGGTCTCAGACCGGGCCGCGGAGGCTTTGACCCCCGAAACCCTCTCCAGGTAAACTGTAGGTAAGCGGGAGTCGTACGAGCCCTACGGCTTTTGCGCTTTCCTAATATAATAATAATAATAATAATAATAATAATAATAATAATAATAATAATAATAATAATAATAATAATAATAATAATTAGCCACTTAACAGGCCGTGTGTGTAGTCACCCATTATCAGAGGTTCTAAACCTGTCGACTACACGAAGTGCCCTTAACTGTATGCAACCTGTTCATCACCAGTCAAGAATTCCTTAATCCCTAGTAACCCAGGACAACCCAGTAAAGCCACTTTTTTTTTTTTAATCCAGGGATTCAATGCCTGGACCCCAGTGATGAGTGTGATGAGTCGCTCCTCTCACCACTGGGCAGCGGCAGTTGGTATGGTAAAGCCACTGTGTCTGGCTTATTTCCATTGGAATCCTGTAATTCTCTTCCCCAGGATGCGACCCACAGAAATCCTCCGACAACCAGGTACCTGGTCACTGATGAATCAGACACTTGTCCAAGTCTCGAGTATCTTCATTGTGGAAACGTTTTGTCAGTCAGTGCTTCTCCGGTTCAGTATCAGACTGAAGGAGCCTCTACCTGGCGAAACGTTCCCACAATAAAGATACCCAAGTGTTGTACAACTTGTCGGTTTTCTGAACCACTTACGTAATAAGTATAAGGAAACACAGACAATAAGTATAGGGAAACATGGTCAATATTTCCGCTTGTGCTGAGATTAAATTCAGGTCCTTCAGATGTGAGCTGGAGATGCTGCTACATGGAGTGGTGGAGGCTCGATCCTCCTCTACTGATTGTGAGGCAGATACGCTACCTAAATGTAGCAAAACGTATATCAAAGAAAACTGCGTTGCAATAGCGTGATGACTCACTTCCAGGTGTTCGTGGGTGCGGAAGGTGAGGTCTTGGTCAGTGCGTCCCTGGTAGTCGTGAAGAGCAACTACCATCCTGCCGGTAGCCAGTCCACACACACTGGAGCACCCTGGTGAACCCGAGACCGTAGTGCTGAACCACGCTCACCACAAAACCAAATCACATCCGAGCACGACCACATCATCGTCAGGACACGGCCACATCACAGCCAGGACATGGCCACATCATCGTCAGGACACGGCCACATCACAGTCAGGACATGGCCACATCACCGACAGGACACGACCACATCATTAAATTGAAAATAGAATTATTGTCAATTACAACTATACAATTATATGAGAGTGGCACCTCCAGTGCATCTACAGTAAGGTAGTAAATTAAGAACAAAAACGCACAATACCGAAACTGGAACAATACACAGATAACCTGCACATAGGAGAGAGAGAGAGAGAGAGAGAGAGAGAGAGAGGAGAGAGAGAAGAGAGAGAAGAGAGGAGAGAGAGAGAGAGAGAGAGAGAGAGAGAGGAGAGAGAGAGAGAGAGAGAGAGAAAGAGAGAGAGAGGGGAGTTAGTTTATTACGACGTTTCGGTCCGACTTAGACCATTCACAAGTCACAATGACCCGTGAATGATCCAAGTAGGACCGAACCGTCGTCATAAGATTTTATCTCTCTTATGTGCGGGTTATTTGTGCATAGTAGGTTAAGCAACCGAAATTTCACATCATGAAATTACACATTGTAAAAAACAAGGGCAGTGTGAGGCTTTGAAAACTTGCTGGAGGAAGCACACCGTACACGCTGCCCTTCCTGGACACCAACAGTAGTGTCAGAGGGACTCGCATTATTTCTACCGTCATGCCTTAAGGGGCACTTAAGTTCCTCCGTCTTCTAATAACAAGGCAGATTATAGTGGAAAAATGAAAATGTTATAGAAGACGGGGGAACTTACGTGCCTCTTAATCCTTCTTTTGCCTGGAAACAGAAAGGAATTACCTGGAAACAGAGAGAACCTTCCTGGAAACAGAAAGGCCTTTTATGGAAACGTAAAAAACGAAGTTTTTCCCGGAAAAAAAAAACTTACCAGGAAGAGATGGCATCGTTAGTTGTCAATGAAGACTGGGTAGTGCCATCCTGGTCGACTGCCGAGGTGTTGTCAGGTAGCAATGAGGGAATTGCCATGGCACTCCTGGTGAGGATGTAGTTGTCGTGCCTCCCGTGAGAGTCCCTGAAGGTGCAGGAGTCGTCGGCACTCCTCTGAGGCACCAGGGCCAGTTCCTGGGTCGTGGAGGGCTCTAGCACCGACCGACTTCGCTGCGCGCGAGTATTGGCACCCTCACTACCTGGGTGCCAGGAACAAGAACCAGCGATAAACAAGCGAAGGATCGAGCATACAACCATTCCTTGTACTGCATGACATCCACGCGGGTTTAGCGCTTCATATAAAATATAGTAATAACAGTATGCTGCTTTCTCATCATTATCACCTTTCTCTTTATCATTACAATAATAATAATAGTAATCACAGCAACAATACTATTAATAATAATAAAAATACATATAATGGTGAAATCGCCCGCACACACATACACAGATGACAGCAAGGAAATGAGTGAGCTACTCAGTTTTTAGCAAGCCACTAACCAGACTGAGAGTCGAAGATCAAAATGAATTTCTTATGAGAGAGCCACAGAATTTGGTTAACACAAGCCTATCTGATGTTATCCTGACGCCAAATGACTTCGAACAGGCGATAAATGACATGCCCATGCACTCTGCCCCAGGGCCAGACTCATGGAACTCCGTGTTCATCAAGAACTGCAAGAAGCCCCTATCACGAGCCTTTACCATCCTATGGAGAGGGAGCATGGACACGGGGGTTGTCCCACAGTTACTAAAAACAACAGACATAGCCCCACTCCACAAAGGGGCAGTAAAGCAACAGCAAAGAACTACAGACCGATAGCACTAACATCCCATATCATAAAAATCTTTGAAAGGGTCCTAAGAAGCAAGATCACCACCCATCTAGAAACACATCAGTTACACAACCCAGGGCAACATGGGTTTAGAACAGGTCGCTCCTGTCTGTCTCAACTATTGGATCACTACGACAAGGTCCTAAATGCACTAGAAGACAAAAAGAATGCAGATGTAATATGTACAGACTTTGCAAAAGCCTTCGACAAGTGTGACCATGGCGTAATAGCGCACAAAATGCGTGCTAAAGGAATAACAGGAAAAGTCGGTCGATGGATCTATAATTTCCTCACTAACAGAACACAGAGAGTAGTCGTCAACAGAGTAAAATCCGAGGCAGCCACGGTGAAAAGCTCTGTTCCACAAGGCACAGTACTCGCTCCCATCTTGTTCCTCATCCTCATATCTGACATAGACAAGGATGTCAACCACAGCACCGTGTCTTCCTTTGCAGATGACACCCGAATCTGCATGACAGTGTCTTCCATTGCAGACACTGCGAGGCTCCAGGCGGACATCAACCAAATCTTTCAGTGGGCTGCAGAAAACAATATGAAGTTCAACGATGAGAAATTTCAATTACTCAGATATGGTAAACACGAGGAAATTAAATCTTCATCAGAGTACAAAACAAATTCTGGCCACAAAATAAGCGTAACACCAACGTCAAAGACCTGGGAGTGATCATGTCGGAGGATCTCACCATCAAGGACCATAACATTGTATCAATCGCATCTGCTAGAAAAATGACAGGATGGATAATGTGAACCTTCAAAACTAGGGATGCCAAGCCCATGATAACACTCTTCAGGTCACTTGTTCTATCTAGGCTGGAATATTGCTGCACACTAACAGCACCTTTCAAGGCAGGTGAAATTGCTGACCTAGAAAATGCACAGAGAACTTTCACGGCGCGCATAACGGAGATAAAACACCTCAATTACTGGGAGCGTTTGAGGTTCCTAAACCTGTATTCCCTGGAACGCAGGAGGGAGAGATACATGAATATATACACCTGGAAAATCCTAGAGGGACTAGTACCGAACTTGCACACGAAAATCACTCACTACGAAAGCAAAAGACTTGGCAGACGATGCACCATCCCCCCAATGAAAAGCAGGGGTGTCACTAGCACGTTAAGAGACCATACAATAAGTGTCAGGGGCCCGAGACTGTTCAACTGCCTCCCAGCATACATAAAGGGGATTACCAACAGACCCCTGGCAGTCTTCAAGCTGGCACTGGACAAGCACCTAAAGCCGGTTCCTGATCAGCCGGGCTGTGGCTCGTACGTTGGTTTGCGTGCAGCCAGCAGTAACAGCCTGGTTGATCAGGCTCTGATCCACAAGGAGGCCTGGTCACAGAAGGGCCGCGGGGGCGTTGACCCCCGGAACTCTCTCCAGGTAAACTCCAGGTACACATCTCTCCATGGGTCCTGAGAGAGGGAGCAGAGGCGCTATGTGTACCCCTAACAACAATATTCAATACATCTATCGAAACAGGGAGATTGCCTGTGGCATGGAAGACAGCAAATGTAGTCCCAATCTTTAAAAAAGGGGACAGACAAGAAGCACTAAATCAGGGTAGTGTCACTGATGTATAATACGGGAAAGTCATGGAGGGGAAAAATTTCAGGAGAAGGGGTGGTTGGGAAAAAACCCCAGAAAGGGGAAAGATCTCATCCCAAAAGAAACTAAACTGGTTTCAGGGCGGGAAAACCCGTGTCACAAAACCCACTGGAGTTTTTATGGGCTTTTTGGGGACAGCGTAAAACAAGAGAGAGGGGGAGGGGGTGGGTGGATTGCTTTTTTTGGGGCTGCAAGAAGGGGGTTTTTTACACCGTTCCCACAAGAGAAATTTGTGCCAAAAAAAAAAAGGGGGACCAAGCAAGGATAACAGGGAAGGCACTACAAAGGGTCAGGGAAAAACTTGTCAGGAAGACGAGCGAATTTAAAGGTACCCGGGGGAGGTGTCAGAGTGGGCACCTGTGCCGCGGGGGTCCCCCAGGGGTTTAGTTTCCCAGGACCCGTGCCGTTTCTGGTATTTGTGAACAACATGACGGAAGGAATAGACTCCGAAGTGACCCTGTTTGCAGATGACGTGAAGTTGGTGAGAAGAATTCAATCAGACGAGGACCAGGCAGAACTACAAAGGGATCTGGACAGGCTGCAGACCTGGTCAAGCAATTGGCTCCTGGAGTTCAACCCCACCAAGTGCAAAGTCATGAAGATTGGGGAAGGGCAAAGAAGACTGCAAACAGAGCACAGTCTAGGGGGCCAGAGACTACAAACCTCACTCAAGAAAAAAGATCTTGGAGTGAGTATAACACCAGGCACATCTGAAGCACACATCAATCAAATAACGGCTGCAGCATATGGGCGCCTAGCAAACCTCAGAACAGCATTCCGACATCTTAATAAGGAATCGTTCAGGACCCTGTACACCGTGTACGTTAGACCCATATTGGAGTATGCGGCACCAGTTTGGAACCCACACTTAGCCAAGCACGTAAAGAAACTAGAGAAAGTGCAAAGGTTTACAACAAGACTAGTCCCAGAGCTAAGAGGTATGTCCTACGAAGAGAGGTTAAGGGAAATCAACCTGACGACACTGGAGGACAGGAGAGATAGGGAGGACATGATAACGACATACAAAATACTGAGAGGAATTGACAAGGTGGACAAAGACAGGATGTTCCAGAGTTTGGACACAGCAACAAGGGGACACAGTTGGAAGTTGAAGACACAGATGAATCACAGGGATGTTAGGAAGTATTTCTTCAGCCACAGAGTAGTCAGGAAGTGGAATAGTCTGGGAAGTGATGTAGTCGAGGCAGGAACCATACATAGCTTTAAGAAGAGGTATGATAAAGCTCATGGAGCAGGAAGAGTGGCCTAGTAGCGACCAGTGAGAGGCAGGGTCAGGAGCTGTGACTCAACCCCTGCAACCACAACTAGGTGAGTACACACACACACACACACACACACACACACACACACACACATACACACACACACACACACACACACACACACTCACACACACACACACACACACCACACACACACACACACACACACTCACACACACACACACACACACACACACACACACACACACACACACACACACACACACACACACACACACACACACACACACACACACACTCACACACACACACACACACACACACACACACACACACACACACACACACAACCATATATACAACATATGTTAGGTCAGTCTTGATTTATGCAACATTCTCGTGGACCCTGATAAAGCATGTCAAGAAAATGGAGAAAGTCTCAAGGTTTGCAACGAGACTAGTCCCGAAGGAAAATGAACTACAAGGAGAAACTAAAGAAACTGAACCTCATGACGTTCAAGGGTAGAAAGACCAAGAGGTACATGATAACGACGTAAAAAATACTCAGAGAACTTGATAGGGTGGACAGGGAAAGACTGTTCAGGAGGCGTAAAACGAGTACACAAGGGTACAATTGGAATTTAAATATACAGATGACCCGCAAGGATGTCAGGAAATATTTCTTCAGCCTCAGAGTGTTCAAGAAGTGGAGAGTAAAGGCAGGCTGCATACATAGCTTCATGAATGAGTATAAAATGGCCAACATGGTTAGGAAGAAACGAAGGCAGGCAACCTCAAGTTAAGAGGCGGGACCAGGTGCTGAGACCCAACCCCTTTAACTACAAATAGGCGAGGAGAAAGAAATAAAACTACAAAAAATGAGAGGCCGGGGGCAGGGTCGGTGAATCGACCCCAACAGCCACAAGTAGGCGAGTACATACATTTTAGGGCGAGTCTTTACATAAGTAAATTCTTTTTGAACTTATCTAACCTTTATGACAGGTTCATAATCTAATCTGCACGACAATGTTCATTGTTGTGTTGACGAGTATACTTAAACACACAACATAAACATCAATATTGTCAGTAAGTCTCAACTTAAAAAACTTCTCCCGTTGGGCGAAACGTCGTCACAATAAAGAAAGGCTGTGCTACATGTAATTTTTTTCTTCACAACAGAAACGTGGAAACAGGGTAATAACTGTTAAGAGAGTAAGAAATGTTGAAAGGACGAGAGCAAGATGTACCGTGGCCCGCCTCTGCTGGCGCCTCACTCGGTGTTTCCGGTAAAACGTAACACCCATGATAATCCATCTTAGATTTCCCAAGACTGATGTCACTGTTGCGAGTGACGGCTGCTGATATTGCCACACCTGTGAAGGACGGAAGGGGTGGGTGGATGGCAGGGGGTGGGTGGATGGCAGGAAGTGGGTGGATGGCAGGGGATGGGTGGATGGCAGGGAGTGGGTGGATGGCACGGGGGGTTGGATGGCAGCAGGGGTGGGTGAATGATAGGGAGAAGATGGTAGGGGGCATGGTGGATGGCTGTGGCAAATTACAGAAGTTATGAATTGGGCATACATTAAACCTATAGTATTGGCATAAAGACTGAGGGATGAAGGTGGTGAGGCTTCAAGACTGAGAGATGTCACCTTACCTTGGTGTGGTGGACAGGGCTTCAAGACTGAGAGATGTCACCTTACCTTGGTGTGGTGGACAAGGCTTCAAGACTGAGATGTCACCTTACCTGGTCCGTGGCCTAGTGGCTAAAGCTCTCGCTTCGCACAGTGAGGGGTCTGGGTTCAATTCCCAGCGAGGGTAGAAACACTGGGCGTTTCTTTACACCGGTTGTCTATGTTCTCCATCAGTAAAATGGGTACCTGGGTGTTAGTCGACTAGTGTGGGTCGCATCCTGGGACAAAACTGACCTAATTTGCCCGAAACGATCTGCATAACAAGTGGCTTTCTATGTAGTAGTATGTCATTGATGTCAGCTAGGCCTGTATACCTTGCACATATACTTGTAGAAGTAAAGATATTATTATTATTATTATTATTATTATTATTATTAGCAGTAGTAGTAGTAGTAGTAGTAGTAGTAGTAGTAGTAGTAGTAGTAGTAGTAGTAGTAGTAGTAGTAGTAGTAGTAGTAGTAGTAGTAATAGTAGTAGTATTACCTTGGTGTGGTGGCCGGGGCATCAAGACTGAGAGATGTCACCCTACCTTGGTGTGGTAGCCGGGGACGTTGTCTCTCTCTACGCTGCTCGCTGTTTTCCACAACCTCCTCCCTCTCATCTCCTTTGAGTTTCTTCCAGAGCCAAGCAAAAGACATGTTTGTGGTGTGTGGTTGTCAAGGTGTGATTGCCGAGTAGGTGTTAGGGCGAGCAGTAGGATTCTGTTGAAGTGAGTGGTGTAGAGTGGTCGGTCGAGTGTGGACTGGGTTGTTGGGGACTATTCCAGGGGCTTGACGTCCTATACACCCCGCATCTACACCCTTATCACACTTCTGCATATATATCTTTAATTCACAGCGTTTTCAAAATTACTTTTTTTTTTGGATATATTCGACTGGAAATGTAACACTAGTCTTGACGGTCTACATAAATCACCAACACACAAGTCTTTAAAGGAACTTCTGAGTGACAATTGTTATTTAAGGAGATTTAACCAACTCAGTCACTTTTTAAAGTCCAGCTTTAGCTTCTGCAGTAGGCAGTTACTCCAACAATAAACATTGAACGTTTCTCATTTTTATGCAGCAACAGTAGCATTCAAACGGGCGATAGAGGAACAGTTTGAGGCTTCATGGAAGTACTGACTGCTGTAGCAGGAAGACCTCGTCCTTCGGGATTAACCAAGGCAGACTTCTGCAGGAGTAACAGGCAGGGTGAAGCAGGACTGAGCTGGACACACTGACAGTTATGGTGACGTAGGCCACACTTATCTTCATTATCAGCAGCGATATCACACTAAGATGTTGTTATCGCATTACTCACCAAGCCACTAGGAATGGCAGTGTAGACTGCAAATGTTGAATGTAGGTGGCTGGAGGTGTGGTGCGTACCTGTCTGAAGGTATTGGGTATACTTTGTATTAGGGGTTTGGTGTACGTTGTATTAGGTGTTTGGTATACATGTGGATAGTGTATACTGCAGGTGTTGTATGTACGTGTGTGTAGTAGTCCAGCCGTCAGGTGATCTTACCACACCCCTCACTGCAGCACCTCACCTAACCTCTCACCAGCCCATCTATTCGTTCGTCTCATTGCTTATTCAAATTCAAATTCGAATTTTTATTTCTTTGCAAAATTTACAATGTGTGACTGACATGTTATAATGAGTCTATTTCCATGCATAATTTACAATGTTTAATTACAATACTGATTTGCAAGTGCAAAGAAAGCCACTATCATGCCGAGGCATTTCGGGCAGACTAAACCTGTGTTTCCCAACCCGTATATAGAAGAAGTGCTCAAGGTCCTATGACGGAAATGTTTCTTGATTAACGTCTTAAGTGTCTGCCTGTACCTCATTCTCAGTAACTTCAGACAAATATCCAGGAATATCTTTTGATTAAGGTATGTTAGGTAAGCTTATAGTGAACAATACAGTGAATAAAAATACCAGGTTAAAATTCCTCTGTAGAGAGGTGGGATACCTACTGCTCATGCAAGCAGGAATCTGTTTTTCATAACTCTATTGCTAACCTCTGGCCATTAGTGGGTCTCGCCCACTTGTGACCACGTCTAACATCTGCTGCAACTCTCCGCCTCTTACACTGGCTCCAAGGACCCCGGTGAATATACAAGGACCTGAATGGAAATACAAGGACCTGAGTGGAAATACAAGGACCCCAATGGAAATACAAGGACTCCAATAGAAATACAAGGACCCCAATGGAAATACAAGGACTCCAATGGAAATACAAGGACCCCAATGGAAATACAAGGACCCCAATGGAAATAAGTCACTTTGACTTTTTTGGGTCATCCTAGGTAATCTACACATATGCTGCTATGTATGATAATTTATGTAACTATTTATGTGTGCATGTACCTGAATAAACTTACACTATAAAAACAATTATGTCATCATGTTCCTGAATTAGAGTAACGTTTTGCCTGCACAGCAGGCAAAACATCACTGTGCAGACAAAACGTCACTGTGCAGGCAAAACGTCTTCGTAATAAAGAGACACAAAGTGTTGTGTCTTATTCAGCAATTTGTGGGTATTGTACAACTGTGTTCTAATAGTATAAATGGTTAGTTGGTTAATGGGGTTTGAAGATTTTCGACTACACACGGGTCGTTAAGGTGGCATGTGACCTATTTACCATCAACCCCAAAAAATTTAATCCTTAGAGCAGGGATTAAAGTAAACTTTCATTATATGTATATACAGTGAGAGGCATTAACCTCACGGTGGCATAGCTTATATTATCTTATATTATAACTTTGGTATATCTGTGTCTAGCATTAGGAATAATATTAGGAGATAAGTAAATAATGAAAATGATTGTTACAGGAATGCAGTTAGAAGCTTGAGTAGATCTATAACCCACTATGATAACATGATCATTGTTATTATAATCAAGGGAGAAGCGCTAAACCCGGAGGATTATACAGCGCCTGGGGGGGGATGTGGAAGGCATTCAGGCTTAATTCGGGGAACTGGAGCACAGATCCAATTCCCTAAATCAAGAGCCCCTCACCAACATTAAGGAACCTTCCTTGAGGGGTATGATAACATGAACGTAGATAAGTATGTTTATGGAGCAACTTGCAATGTGAACAGACTGACTGATGTTGTAGTGGCCAGGCTTAGGCTTGGTTACAAGTACTTCTGGCAGTTTGGGAGACACGCAGATGATGATCAAACTAAATGCAAATTATGTGATCAGGCATATGGTCACTGTCTTGAACACTATGTGCTTAATTGTCCATTTATTGAGGAATACAGAGATAGACAATATAATAACCTATGTGACATGTCAAGATATCTTATTAATGAAAATAAGATACCAGATATACTAAGCAAATTTCCTAAATTTGCTTGTAACAGATAACTGTAGATATTTAGATATAAACCCCATATGTACACCTGTTAACCCTTTTGGGGCCTAGTTCCTAGGCCTTTTGTGTATACATATGCTCTTGCGCTACCGTCCACAGGATGGATATGGAGTGAACAATAAACTAGCCACTTCGGTGGCAAAATCTAATCTAATCTCTAATCTGAGGGTAGAGAAGAAGAGGGTATCTACATATTCATATAAAAATGAACAGTGTATCTATATAACAAAATAATCCCAATGAAAATAGATCACAGTGTTTGACTTTACTGGATTATCCTATCTTAAATTCTATGTAAAAATCATTGTAAAAGTTTCAAATTGTTTATGATGCGCAATATCAAATTACTGAATAAAAAGTACTTAGAAATAGCTTAGTTTATCCTAAATCTAGTTTTTACGTTTTCTTTAAATACATTGACAACTTTTACAACATAAACTCATTTATACTGATATATGATTACTAAATTAACATAGCGTTGCACGATAGACACATTAAACATTGTTAACTCTCACTAACCTTGCAAAATATGACATAAATCAGAAAAGCTGTATAGTGTGGTGTAGATTTTTTGGTGGGGAAGGGATACCCAGAGCTATAGGTTAACTCTACATAATTATTCAACAAGAACTCCAATTACAATTAGTCACATTGATAACATTACTTTATCTTGGGTAAAATCTACATAATATATTATACACTTTTCTGACTAATCCTGCGGTCTGTCTAGATCATAAGAACATATGAATGGAGGAACACTACAGCAGGTCTACAAGGACCCCAATGGAAATACAAGGACCCCAATAGAAATACAAGGACCCCAATGGAAATACAAGGACCCCAATAGAAATACAAGGACCCCAATGGAAATACAAGGACCCCAATGGAAATAAGTCACTCTGACTTTTTTGGGTTATCGCAGGTTCTCTTCACATATGCTGCTATGTATGATAATTCTGTGATACTCCAATACTGAAACTATATACTGTGCCAAAATAAAAAAGCATTCACATTGCTAAACTCACAAAATAGTATTTAGTCACTTAGCCATAATACCAACTTACCTCATAATTTGTAATATTTTACATTTAAGAATAAAACTAAGTATGCCCGAAATGCCTAGCCATGCTAAGCGTTCTAGTGGTACACTCTGTAATCTCAATTTTACTACATGTTAAACCAAACAATAACCAAATTTCTGTAAACTCAGCATTGTAATCCTTATAGAGAATAAACTTTGAATTTGAACTTTGAATTTGAATTTGAATTTGAATGTAACTGTATTTGTGTATACCTGAATAAACTTACTTACTAGTCTACTGTGCAAGAAAGGTATAAAATACTAGCAATATGAAAGTTAAGACACATGTGGAACATCTGGATATCTTTATTGTAGACGATTCGCCATCCAGTGGCTTTATCAATACAGATTCTAGGACATAATTAGAAGACAGTAGAACTATATACAATAAAGATATCCAGATGTTGCACATGTGTCTTAACTTTCAGCAGGTCTACTGTTAGTTTAACACTGGTCCATACAATGCAGGTCCTTCTCAAAACCATCCTTTCTCACCCACCTATTCATCCAAGTTTTTTCCAAAGCTACCCAGGAATATGCTTCACCACCTCAGGTACTAATCAAAGCATGACCTTCTCTAGACACATGTGCAACAGTTGGGTATCTTTATTGACGAAATGTTTCCGCTACACAATAGGTTTCTTCAGTTAAATACAAAGGAAGCAGTAGTAATGAAATGAAGATGAAGTAATCAGTCCATCAGCCTTGGACAAAAAGTATTTGAGGAGGTCAGTCCCTCAGCCTGGAGAAGAGTTCAGCTCCATGAAGCTGAACATGGAGCTCCCTTTATGTGACTGAAGAAGCCTACTGTGTAGGCGAAACGTTGCTAGTCATAGCTCCTGGCCCTCGTGTGTGTGTGTGTGTGTGTGTACTCACCTAATTGTGGTTGCAGAAGTCGAGTCACAGCTCCTGGCCCCGCCTCTTCACTGGTCGCTACTAGGTCATTCTTCCTGTTCCATGAGTTTTATCATACCTCTTCTTAAATCTATGTATGGATCTTGCCTCCACTACATCACTTCTCAGACTATTATATTTCCTGACAACTCAGTGACTGAAGAAATACTTCCTAACATCCCTGTGATTCATCTGAGTCTTCAACTTCCAACTGTGTCCCCTTGTTGCTGTGTCCCATCTGAAACATTCTGTCTCTGTCCACCGTGTCGATTCCTCTCAGTAATTTATATGTCTTTTTGTGTGTTTGTGTGTGGGGGGGGAGGGGTGGGCAAAGTTTGTAGATAATTTCAAAAAAAAAAAATCAGACTGATTTACTACCAAAATAGTAAAAGTCTGTAAGAATATTAAGATACGTCAAGCATGCCAGTGGAGTGATATATGGATGATGGAATTTAACACTGATTAATAGTTTATCAAGGAAATGAGTTTTGTAAATTATTTCAAAATATGCGATAAAGAAGTTATCCGAATATACGCGGAAATGATTAATCGTATCCCATACTGCTAAAATTCCCAACTCACCCACAATTTAGAAAGGAAACATTATGCAATTTACGCAATGTTTCCTTTAGCTGTAGACCATTATCAAGGTCACTATATATAGCAGAGAAGAAGATAAGATAAGATAAGATAAGATTTCGTTCGGATTTTTAACCCCGGAGGGTTAGCCACCCAGGATAACCCAAGAAAGTCAGTGCGTCATCGAGGACTGTCTAACTTATTTCCATTGGGATCCATAATCTTGTCCCCCAGGATGCGACCCACACCAGTCGACTAACACCCAGGTACCTATTTGCTGCTAGGTGAACAGGACAACAGGTGTAAGGAAACGTGTCGAAATATTTCCACCCCACCTCTCCCCCGCCCCTTCGTACCCCAACCAGCGGGGGTTGTTCCCTCCCTGCTGGTACCCCACATGGACCCACTTATCACCAAATCAAGCAAAGTGGAGACGTGGGGATACAAACTGGATAAGTATTAAGCCATAGTAGAAATAATAAAATAAGAGATAGTTGTTTGATGTCAGGAAACAGTGAACATGCAGTGATGGATGTGGAAAAGGTTTAACCCCCACCAAACCCTCTCGCCACCCTCCCCCTCCGACACCCCAACCAGAAGGGAGGGTTTCCTCACCCCCCCTTTGGCCCCCATACCCAATTCTCCTGACCCCCGAACTACCTTCATCACCGAAACCCAGCCCCCACCACTACATATAACTGTCCGGGACAAGATAAACAGCAGTGATCATGACAGGAATCAGATGCTGTAGGATGTATGTATATGATGTTATACAACATAAAAGTTTTTAATGGGTAATAAGTCTCCATGCTAATTAAAATCCCACATACCCATGTATTGACCTATAACACCACACCTGCGTGCAGAGCTGAAAGGTAAAGTGAAGATAAAGCTCTTGTGGTACCCAGTTGCAAATAGGATACAGGCAGGATGGCAGTACAGTATACCTGTGGGACATGTAAAAGGCTCTTGGGAAACAATCTAGAATCACATGCAACCTTGCTTTTCAAAACATCATGTTACCTGTGCAAGAATAAACACTGCAACCAAAATGACATCTATCTAGATGGGTGTTTTCGGATCTGCAACAGGGATTTGGAACTATGGATAGATATCAGGAAAGCACTCAGGAGGTTAATAAACAATAAACACGAGAAAAAGGAGGAACTATTAAATTAGTCTACCTGGAATATATAGAGCTTTGGGAAGATAGGAGAGGAGTAAAGTCTAACCGGGAAGAACGCCCAGTCTACAACAACTGACCCAAAAATAAGCAGATACACACTAGAAAAAACACGGGAAACAAAAACAACAGCTAGTTCAGTGCCCAGCCTTAGGGCTGACCCAGACCCAGCCCCCAGCCATTGTGAAAATCTGGATTCAGTTAAAGACCCTCCACAGCTACCAATGCCATATCCCCTAGTACAGATGTAGTAAGGAGCCTCCTCTGGAGTAGACTCTTCTGAAAACCATCACAGTCATAGCCCCAGCCCCAT